CACTCCAGCGCCTTTGGGTAATGGAGGTGGGCAGCTCATTAAGATGATGTGTGAAGAGACAGGCGCATTGGAGAAAAGGCAGTACAATCACCATCTCCACCGTGGAAAAGAGGAGGGCGGGAACACAGAGCACCGACGAGGGGCGTGGGAGAAATGCCCACTGGAAATCTGAGAGTGCATCCTAGGGAAATAACCAGAGCAATAAAGCCGGCCACGGGAGGGACGAGGCATGCCACAAAGAGGAGTATTTAAAATTGGATATGTCTGTATAAAATAACTCAGCTGCCAGGGAGGGATTCAAAGGAGCTATTGAACAGCAATATCAGGGAGATGGAAGAAGGCAATTCCGGTGTGCCTCTGTGTTCGGGCAGCCTAAATATAGAACCGTCACCGGGAGCTGCTGGCGTCGGGTAAAGGCCTCCAGGGCTTTCCTGAATAAAGGTGACGCGCTGGGCTCCAATCGTTCCACACGGTGAGGTTCTCTGGATGCCACGGATGGATGTGGATGAACGTAGACTCAGTGCCTGCTTGTGAGCTGGGTTCTGTGCCTGACATTTTAACATATATGAGCGCATGTTCTTCTCACAGCAAACCTGCCACGAGAAAGTCACTCTCACAACTTTTAGAGGAAGGAATCTGAGATCACACAGCTCTGCAACGGTGGAGCCAGGATTCAAATCTCAGTTTGGGCAGATTCAGAGCCAATACCACCAAGCTCAAAAGCAGGCACTGAATTCACGTCCCCACAGGGAAGCAAGTTGAAGATGAAGCATAAAGAGAAAGCCGGCTTCCAGAGATGGATGCTGTGCTTGGCACACGTATTCACACTCACATTCAGACAGCAACTTGTGCAATTTGATTTGTCCTTGCTGAGCTTCAGGATTGCTAAGGTCTGTTATTTTTGTGAGGTGAACACATATAATAACAAAATAACCCTTTTGAATAAATGGCATACGTTCATTTTAAAAATCCGCTCAGGTTCCCTTGCTGTGTTTCGTTAAGGATGAAAAAGTTCCCCCAAAGGGCCTCCAAAGCTGGGGCAGCAATGCAGGAGCAGCAGGTTCTGCTCTGCATACATTCCTTTGTCAACTCCCTTTACTGAGTGCTTCACAGGAACAAGGCACTTTGCTAGAGTCTCGGGATGAGCAAAATGATCATCGTCCCTGCCCTTGGAACACATGACCTATTAGTTGATAAAAACCAATAAAAAGCTAATTGCAGGAGAGTGGAACAGACACTATTTGGGGAGAAGAAGGGTCTCATGGAAACGGAACTGGAGCCCTGGGTGACTCTGCTGGAGCAATTCAGTAAACACTGCGTCAGGAGAAGAAAGGAATGAAGCCAAGCAGCGATTCCAAACCAGAGAGAAGTGGGCACTCGCCAAGGACCCCTAGGCGCTGTCCATACCCAGGAAAAGGAAACAAGTGGCATTTGTTCCTCACAGGTCCCCGGCCAGAGCCTTGGCCATTTCACCACCAGGACTTCCCCAGACACCGTGACCCACCCTCACTGCCTGCAGCCCCCAGGACCTTGCCCCGGTCCTTTCTAGGTAGCCTCTGGCTTTCTCAACACAGCACGTCTCTACAGCAAGCCACATGTCTACACCACAAGAATCGGGGCAAGAACCGATGTGAGTTGTCTGGCATTCTGGACCTTTATTGTTGTGGATTTGGGGCAGAATGGTCCGCATGTGGCTCCTGTCTGAAAGGGGCAGGAGGCCGCACACCCTTTGCCTGCTGGGGAGCCACGCTGTGCACTGTGGAAAGCAAGGCCTGTGTGGGTTGCCTGGGAAGGGGGTTCAAACAGTGAGACAGCTCTGCCTCATGAAGAGGGGCATCTCTCTGGGCCCCTGAGAGCCCGAGAACCAGCAGCCCTTGAAGTCACTGACACGGGCTGCTCCCCGCAGGGGCAGAGTGGCCCCAGCCAGCACTGTCATCTGCTCCCAGAGTCAGAGCGTGATCGAGCCACGTCACAGGGCGACCTGGGCTCCAGCACCTGGCACTAGGAGAGTCTGATGAGGAACCCTGGAGGATTGGAGAGGACCAGCCGGGTGATTCTTGTGGCGTGCCTTCTAAGGCAGGATGAAATATTAATGAAACACGTTTTCTTTCACTGGTGGAAGCACAAACAATACCCAAGAAATTAGAATATGCTCAGAGTGGGCACAGACTGGGACAGGAACACACAGTGGGACTGACGCTGCGCGCTGGCCTGGCTCACCAGAGGAGGCCCTTCCTCCTAGGTACCGGGGTCCTGCGCCAGTGGCGTGTGGCAGTTTCCCTTCATCAGGAGTGTGGACAGTGGGGGGAGCAGGAGACGCCCTGTCCCTTGACCACCCGCTGCATCCTGGGGACAGGTAAAATGAGGCCTGAAACACAAAGAAGAGTCTACGAAGCTTTACATGGCGGGCGAAAGCCGAGTCCCTGCTGAGAGACAGCCACAAAATCTGCAGTCTCAGTGCCACCTCAGTGCTGTGTGCAGCTGACGTTTGTGTGGGATGTCAAATATTTACAACAGCAAAGCCTTCCAGAAAGGAGCTAATGTGGAGCGTGTCTGTCACGCGTGACAATGTGATAAGCATGTGTTGGTGAGACACGCTTGCATGTGATCTCAGAACATCTGTGAGGACAGCGTGGCAGAAGGTGCAGGGGCACTGTCTTCAGGAGGGTAACTGACCCCTGGCCTGCAGTCTTGCCCCTGAGGCACACGTTGTTCAGAGGAAAGAGAAACTGCACCGGCTTCGTTAGGAATTGTCAACTTCTTCCTTTTCAGTCCACAAAACATCTCTTGGCCACTAACACACACAAATGGGACCCACTGCCCGGAAGAGAGGGCTGCGGATACAGGCGTGTTTGCACGCCCCCTTCTTTACGGGCTGCTATTGTGTGTGGGGCCGCGTGCAGCGCTCTGTAGATGTGCTATTAGTCGGATGGATTACCGCTTCACCATGTCATGGTCACCCAGACGGCTAACGTATGTGCCACTTCTACATAAGCAGTTTTTTTTTTTTCTATTCCCAGCATTTGAAACACAAGAGGAGGAAGGAAACAACACAGAGAGAGCAACTCAGATGGTGGCAATTTCATTTTTTCTCTTTCAAGTTATTGGATCATTTCAGAAGATGTGAAAACCTCCATGTGAAAACCTCATGGGCACCACATCCCTGCCTGTGGCAATTAGGCTGAGCCCTATTCAACCCCCAGAGTCACGCTCGTCTTGAGAAATACTGAATGTACAACTGTCCTCGTCACTTCACCAAGTCATTTAAAGACAAAACAATTGTCACGTGCTCAAGCCACCTTTTACATGCTCACAAACAATGCTTGTTCAGGTGTTCTTTACCTTACAAACTTCTAAAGGTCCACTTCAACATGGGAGAAGGCGATAAATACTTCCATTTTATTTGATAGGATTTTTTTCCAGTGGGAAATAATAAAATACAGTGAAACAAAGCAACAATGATTTAGAACGAGCAAGATCTGCCTCTGATCTTGGCTTGTCATTTACCAATTATATGACCTTGGGGAAAATGCCTGAACAGTTTCCACCTCAGCTCCCTCAGCACTGAAACAGAGTTGACAGTTGCCACCCAATTGGGTAACTGTACTAATAAAGACATTAGGTGTAAAAAGTAGTGTACCCCTGACTTGTGTTAGAGACTGAATATTAGTTATTGTTTGACTTCTTCTTAATACTAACATGGCTGTTTTATTAACTTCTGGATTCAGGGCTAGTGTCTTGTGAATGTGCAATTCTGGACAAAGAGCCAGAAAATTTTGTGGCTGAATTCTGATTATTCTGTGGAATGTGGGAAAAGCCACTTTGTCCCTCTGAACCAAAGCCTTATTCAATGGAAAATTTGCACACCAATACCTACCTTGCCAGATTGCTATATAAACTGAATGTGGTCCTTCTTCAGGGCACATACTAGACATTTAACTATGGTAACTTCTACTATTACTATTGTTGCAATAGCAGTAGTTAGAGAACAGGGAACAATTTGATTTAATACTTTGGAGTCAAACAGTATTTTTTTTTTAATCTTTTGGCATTGGGATTGAACCTGGGGGTGCTTAGCCACTAAGCCACATCCCCAGCCTCATTTTACATTTTATTTAGATACAGGGTCTCACCAAGTTGCTTAGTGGGTATTGATAAGTTGTTGAGGCTGGCTTTGAACTTGTGATCTTCCTGCCTCAGCCTTCCAAACTGCTGGAATTAAAGACGTCTGCCACTGTGCCTGCTCAAATAGTATTTTTTACAAGAATGGAAAACAGAGTTGTGTTCACTTGCCTTCCTACTGGTTAATGATGTTCATCATGTTAGAACTCCAGTATGTATGGAAGCCTCTATGCATGCAATGTTGATCAGCAGAGAACCAGAATTCCGACATGTGCTGATAATTAATACCATTTAAATATCCCCAGATATTTGCACAAAGCCACCAAAAAGATGCAAATATTCTACAGATACTATGACTACCAAAAACTTAGCATTCCAAATCGTCATCATCCAAACATTTTAAATAATGTTGTGTCCATCATTTCAATCAGTGACAGAGACTACTTTGGATGGAGTGAGAGGTGGAGACCTTAGGATCACAAAGGCTTCTCATGGAGATTATAACATCCCCCGAATGTAAATCACTTTTAACAGGGATATTCAGAAAACAAAAGGAGCATCAAATTTATGAACCAATCTTTGTTGAATGCAGTGACACCTGTAATCCCAGCAACTCAGGAGGCTGAGGCAGGGGGTTGCAAGATTGAGGCCAAACTTTGCAACTTAGTGAGGCTCTCTCTCAAAATAATAATAATAATAATAATAATAATAATAATAATAATAATAATAAGAAGAAGAAGAAGAAGCACTGGGAATATAGCTTGGTGGTAAAGCACCCCTGGGTTTAGTTCCCAGTACCAAAACACAACTAAACAACAACAACAAAAAAAATCACTAAGAACCAATTCTTCGGAAACCAAAGAACAGGACTGAGAATATTTGTTTTAAAGTCATCAACGGGTTTTATTTGCAAGAATTGAAATAGTCTACGGTTCTCAGATTTAAACTTCCCAAGCTACAGCCAACAATTTTTCATCAGAGCCCAGTGGAGTAAATAAAAGAGACAAGAGGTAAGAGGGGCACAGAAAGATCACTAGGGAAGAGGTTGGGAGGGGACACTTATTTGTCTTCTCAGTAGATTACATATTGAATCAGGTGACAATGGTCAAGGGACCCGGCAGGGGCATGTTGGTGGAAAATAACATTGCAAGGAACGCCAAAGCCCTACAACAAAGAGAAAGTGTGTGAATCCCCCCCACCCAAAAAAGGGAGCCTCCAGTTCTATCGGAAATCGATGACAACGGGACATCCAGGAGCAGAAAGGAGGCACACCCAGGGAGAGTTCTTAATGGTTTAGGAAATTGCTTTCATTTAAAAAGCTTCCTAAAACGTGTCCCTTTTCTTCTATGTCCGAGTGATATATACAACTCTAGGGTGGCCTTGAGGCCGTGGGGAGGTGGAAAAGGAAGCCAGAGGTCTCCCCACGTCCTTCCATCAGTGACCCCAGAGATCCAAGGAGGAGGACAGCTATTTCGCACCACTCCCACCCAAGAGCACAGCAAAGTGGCGCCTTCAGAGCTCCGAAACAGCTCTGGGGCCCCAATGTCTTGATGGACAAAAGGCCAACTCCCCGGAACTCACTAGGTCAGCCAAAGGATCTGCGCCAGGGACACCCTGGGCGAACTGCAGTCCCCCTTCCCCTGAGTCTGCACAACTGGGGTAACAGGTGTGGAGGGGAGGGGAGCTCAGGGGCTCCACTAGATGGCACCTCCTTGCCCTCCAGCAGGTCCCTGGGGTCGCCCGGGCCACTCCTACCCCCATTCCAAGGCAGAGGTCCAGAGTGCCTGGGGGTCGAAGCGACGTCCACAGGTGGAAGCGGTGGTCCTGTCGAGGCCGAGGCCCTGGAGGCAGTTCCGGGCCGAAGGGGCGTGGTGGCCGCGTCGCGTCCTGGGAGCAGGGCCCTGAGTCACATCGCGGTGTGGCCCAGCCATGCTGGCCGGTGGCCTGCCGCCTCCAGGCGGCCTGTCCCTCTCCCTGGGCCGGACGTGGGGCGGG